TTCTTCCTCTCTCGCCGAGCTCGCACCTGGATCCGCTGCACTATTGTATGGCTCCACCACGACAAATGATCTCCCTGTGGAGGTCCATCGTGCAGCAGCTGGCAGGCTCGCATCCTCATATAGAGCGGAGTGCCTTGCCACTGAAGATGGCATTATACATCTCATACCTTTTTGTCTGGAAACATCCCAATCGCCCACACGAATCCTGGTGGCAACGGACTCCCTGTTGGCAATCACACCACACACATCATCACAACCAAAAGCACCAGCAGCAGTGCAGACCGTGGGTTAACGTGACCAATTGGCGCATGCTGTACGTAAAAGAAAGCAATTAATGGCTTGACAAGGATAAGAAACACTGACAATATCGCAAAACAAAAGAAAAAAGGAAATAAAATAAAAAATCATGCGTCCACATTCTAAGCAAACCACCAATCCAAAAAAAAAAACATAATGGGTCGACTCAACCACAACAAAAATGAAACAATAAATAAAAAAAAACAAAAAGCCGAAGCGTGGGACGACCAGCGCACACACACTCTCATTGCTCCCGTAAAGCAAAACACACACACACAGGGAGAGAGAGAGAGGTCGCCCACTCAATGCAATAAAAAAAAACAGAAACAGTTACGGTGCTCCGCCCATGCAGCCAGGCAGGACGGCAGCGGTGCGTGTCGTGCAAAAGAGAGCACCAACGGGCCTGCATGGGTGTGCATGCATATATACAATGGGCACATTATGTGTGTGCCTCGTGGGGTGAGGTGAGGGCGAGAGTCCATGCAAGGGGACACACACACAGAGAGAGAAGGAAGAGTGTGTGTGCGGGCGGTGCACGGCTCTCTCTCCCTCACTCTCACGCGGCCACCACCGCAGCAGCAGCCGCACACGCAACAACAAGAAGAAGCAAAAGAGGGGAGGTGGTGTGGGAGACCGCGGTGCTGCCGTCACTGTCGCCAGTCGTCGACGTTGTATTTTTCCTGGCTGTGGCTTCGAATGGTGTTTCCTTCGGATTGGCATCTTTATTTTCATTTTGTTTTCCCTCTGCTGCCCCTGCACCATCAGCTGCTGGATCATCGTCTCCAGTTGTTTGGGTGCTGTTGGGATTTGTTATATTCGATGCTCCCGCCGCACCAGAAGATAAAATCGGCTGCTCTTGACTGCCTGCTGATATCCCCTTTGTGGCGCCGGCATCATCTTTCTTCTTTTTCTGCTCTTCATCTTCCTCCTCGTCTATCACGTCGTCATCCTTATCTTCTTCATCGTCCTCCTCTGCTTCCTCTTCTCTCTTGGCAACCTCAATCTCATCTTCTTTCCTTTTCTCCTTTTCTTGTTGCTTTTCATCCTCCTCTTCTTTCTCTTGTCCCGTTTCTTCGCTATTTTTTCCCGCCCCTGCCGTTGGTGATGTTTGCGCTCCTGGTAAATTCGTTGCCGCCCCAGCTCCGGGTAATTCTGTTACCGATAGTCCTGCTGCTTGTGACTCTGCCGATTTACCGCTTAGGCCAACTTCTCCAGCGCCACCTGTGGAATTGTTAACACTCTGATGATTATTGCCGTTACCAGACGTAATGTCTTGAGGAACTTGAGTTGGTTCAGAACATCCACCACCGCCAGCACCGCACCACAGCACGCAGAGGGCACACACCAGCAGCACACGGCCAGTCATCGTCATCGCCATCACTCCTGTCAGTTGCGTGCAGCCTTCAGCACAAACTAACAGCACGTCAACGCAGAGTGAAAGCAAAAGGAAAGACAAATCACACAGTAACACGCACCGTAAAAAACGGCAGCAGCCCTGCAGAGGAACGCACACTGACCTGCACACCAGAAGTAAAAAAGCAATACCAAAACAAAAAAAGTAGTTGAGTGCCCAACAGGAGTCTCCTCCTCCAAAAAAAATACACTTCGGCAGAATCATCATTTCATACGCCATGCAGCAATGCAGGACCGTGTTTATATGTACATGCGTACAGTACCTGCACAAGGAAAAAATTATTACTGTTCCACAAGCCCACACAACATCCCACGCATTTCATGCGGCATCCGGCCTGTCTCTCCACTCCTCCTTTTGTGTCGTCCGTGGAGCGCACAGCCGTGGGGCCTGTACCGCGTGTAGGCAACAGAAGCAATCAAGAGGGAAAACAATTCGCTCATGACGGTGCGCAGCAACTGACCATTAAGTAAAACAAAAGAAAAAGGTACTCCCATTGCTCCATGTAAACAACATTAAAAAGAACATCAAAAAGAAAGCCCGCAGGGAACGCGACACATATTCTCCGTGAGAAGTCGCAACGCCACACTCCGTGGCTCAGAACACTGCCACAACCACACACAGTCCCAAAAGCAGAAGCAGCAGTGGTGTTTCCACACACGAGGTGATACGTTCGCCGCTGCTCACCGTCGGCAGGGACAAGTCACCTTCGAACTAGACTCCTCTGCTCTCTTTAATTTTTTTGGTTAAAGAAGATGTGGTCTGTGTGGCGCTGCTGCACGCACCGCTGTTTGTGGGCTCCTTAGCGGCGGGGGCGTGTGCTCGAGGACCATCGATACAGTCCCATCGCCCGTACACATCGGTGGTATTGGACGTCATGAGGTCATTATTTTTTTTTTCCTACTCTTACCAGCGCGTCTAGCTATACAGTGCCATCTGAGTGCCGAAGAGGTGGTCGAGCAGCAAAATGAGTTTCCTGCTATGAAGCAACTGCCAATGAGAGGACTTTTCGAGGCGAAGGCCCTGTTCAATGCCCAGCCGTTGACGCACAGCCAAGGTGCCTGGACGTCCTAGAAGCAGATGGTGCAAGGTTTCCTGCGGGCCGATTGGCGTGCTTGTGGAAGCTGGCTGATCCTGCGGCAGCAGAGATCGCCGCCTGGCACTGCTGTTTAGATGCCGTGTGGCGTCTGGGTTGTGTGCGCAGTGACTTCTGTGCTGTGCGGTGCTTCTCCGTGTGGGGAAAACCATGTCACAGAAATCGCACTTGAGCTCGGGAAGCGGTGGAGGATGCTCCGGATGAAATGACCGACAGTGACTGACGAGATTCGAGAATCCCGTCAATGTGGAATCACAGTGCGGACATTTCTCCTTCCGACGGCGTGTGACGGTCCGTCTCCTTGCTGGAGAGACATCTTCCTCCCTCGCCGACGGGGGAACAGTGTCCGTCCCCGGTGCAGTTGGATCGTTGTTAGAGCGCATATATGCAGACTGTTCCGGTGAGATGTTGCAGAATCGGCATTGGTTCGTGCAATCTCTCACAGCCCAGTATAGTCGGCCCCAGAGCTCAGATCCCCGCACCTTGCGCTAGCGAGGTGAACCAGTTCCTGACGGTGGAGAACTTCCTGAGTGATCAGGTCCTTACCGCTGAGATCGGATGGCCTTGTGCCGCAAAGCAAGTAGCGATGAGTGTCTTGACGAATGGTACCACGCCACTTGTTGGTGAGCTGGGTAGTAAAACATGTCAGCAGATCCGTATGCCATAAGGTGCGATTCCTTGCTCCGTGTATTGTCCACTTTCCATAGTCTGCGTCGCATACTGATCTGCAAGCTCGTTAGCATGTACTCCACAATGTCCGTAACAAAACTGCAGGTGCACGGACCAGCCGGCACACGTCAGTGTTAAGAGACGCTGCCAGATCTGGTCCTCCGTCCAGTCGGTCTGACTGGGCGGGCCCCTGTTTAGAGCCGCTAGAAGAGACTGACTGTCCGTAACCACAAGCAGGGTTTTATGCCTGTACTGGATACGAGGGATCATCAGCCTTTCAAGGGCTAGAAGCAGCGCACGGGATTCCGTCCTGTAGCTGCATGGGCGTGCACCGCAGTTTATGCTGGCCTTTTCTATTATCTCCGATGAATTGAGGGATGAAAGCAGTATTCCAACCCTGCTGACTTAGGAACGTCGACACCGCCATCGGTCGCAAGTATCCACGAACGATGGCTGTGCAGCGCTAGAGCCTCTTCGTTGACTCTGCGCTTTTCCCGTATCAGCTCCTCTTCGTCCGTTATTGAGAGGTCTATCGGAAGTTCCACACCGATGGTGACCCGGTGAGCGGAGGCCGCAAACCAGGGAGGAATGGAGCTGCGAAAGAACCGCTCTTCGCGTGGTGAGCTCTCGGTGATGCGATAGTCCTTTGTGTATGCGTCTACGAAGGCATATAGCTCGTCCCGAGATAATGGCGAGATGCGGAAACCGGCGCGAGGCGGTGGCTCAGGCGGGGGTCTCCGCATCCAGTCCATCTGACATGCGCGTGTGTTCTCAAATATGGAGAGCCGCGCGCGCAGGCAAAGGACGTGGAGCGGCGGCATATTAGCCTCCAGTAGTTCGGATTCCGGGTCAACAGTGCTCGGAACTCCGCTGACAATGCGTCCCAGAGTTGCGTACGTCTTCTGCATCTCATTCTTCGCTGAATCCGTCGCTACTGCCCATATGAGCTCGCTGCCATAGCGTAATTTGGAGGCACCGTGTCCAATGACGAACGTGCGTCGGTCATGTGGAGATGTTCCCGCCTCTTTGTGCGCTATGCAGCGTGGCTGCGATATCCGTTGCGAAGTGGCAGCGCATTGCTTGGAGGCCGCCGCATTTAGCGTCAGTCGTGGATCGAGATCCATGCCGAGAAGCTTCGTAGTTCGCGATGCCCCCATGGTCATGACTGGGATTTGACATCCAGCCACTACCAGCGGCCACTTTCCTTCACGATCATAATCCGACTCCGTGTGCATGGAGAGTGTGAACCAAGCGGCTTCACACTTTGACGGGTTGATGGCCAGGCCATTTTCCTGACTCCACGCATGCAGTCTTTTCAAGAACCATGTTGGCAGTGGGAATGGCGTCTTCGCGGGACTGCCCCTTAACGATAATAGAGAGGTCGTCCGCATACATGTCGGCTGTGACACCCGCAAAGCTGTTCAGCAGATTGAGAAGTGGGTGTGCGTAAAGGGAGAACAAATATGGTCCCAGCACGGACCCCTGAGGAACTCCTCGCAGCATGGGACGCCGATCGCTGTGTCTGCGGCCAACTCGTGTCTTCGCGTAGCGACCACATAGAAAGTTTCTAAGCCACCTTCTACAATTCACCCCCGGAATATTAGCCAGCAAGCGACTGAGGACTCGATGATCTATGGAGTCAAAAGCCTTGCTGAAGTCAACCAACACCAGCAGGGTCCGATGGGGTCTGTAGTGGAGTTGATTGCCAATACCGCTCTTCTTGGGAAGGTTCACTTGGAAATAGTGATTTCTATTATGCTCCACTTCGTGTATCAGGTGTGCCGGCTGCATCGTCGTGGTACGCATGCTACGATATGCATACTGGTGGGGGTGTGGCGTCCACACCCAAAGCAATCCCTTCAGTACCATTTTCTCAGCAACCTTACTCACAATGGAGGTAAGGCTGATGGGTCGATATGACTCAAGCAGTTCCGGCGACTTGCCGGGTTTTAAGATTGGAACGATGGTAGCGCGTCTCCACTCAACCGGAATCGTACCGGTCGTCCAGCTGCGGTTAATGCAACGAAGAAGGAATCGAAGGCCCTTTGACGAAATATGTCGCAGTGCCTCACTGCAGACTTCATCCGGTCCGGGGGCTTGCCATACGGCGTATTACGTAGCGTAGCAAGCAGTTCCGTAGAATTAAAAGGTGCATCAAGAGGGGAGTGAAGACGAGCAACTAAACCAGATGTGGTGGCAGCTTCGTTTTTATCCTGTGGCTCAGAACTAGATGAGAGTGAAGAACCTGAAGTAAATGTAGCGGCAGACTCGTTGTTGTTCTGCTGCCTAAAAAGAAAAGAAGCATTAATGTTCAAAGATGTACTCTGTCTTTTGATGCCTTTGGAAAATCTAACTGCCTTGTGAGAGGGGTGAAATGGAAAAAAGATGTGATTGAGAGCATTCGCTGCTCTCCTTGCTGTTTTATAAGTGTGTTGACCACCTCCTAATAAAATTGATGTGGGAGATGGAAGTGATGCCTTTTTTCGTCCGGAAATGTATTTCCATGCGATTGGCTCGCCTGGATTTAACTTGCTGATGCGACGTGGATACGTGTTGCGCAAGCGCTCTCGGAGCAGGAGGAAGAATTGACTCCTTGTCCGTTGCATTTCTGCCTCACGGTCGGGCGTCGGTAACTGTAGATAGCGGGCCTTGCTGTCGGTAGCAATCCGCTCTGCCTCCATGAGAATGTCGTCCCAAAGCCTGGGACCGTCCTTGTGCATGCCGCGGGGGCAGTGTCGTCGATACGAAGTTATAAGCGCTCTCGTGAAAGCCTTAATGCCGGTGGACTGCTTTTTATAGTCGTATGCCGGAAGTTGTGCGTCGAGGTCCTTGATGAATAAATCCCACTTGCACTTCCCCCAACTGTGGAATATCCTAGGTGCCGAAGGTATGGTATCCTTAAATGCCTGATGCAGCGTGAATGTCAGCATGTAATGATCACTAAGCGGCGACACGGAAGCTGACCAATCCGACACAGTCAAATGCTTTGACCATGTCAGATCGATACAGGATCGTTCTCTTATGCCACGAGCATAAGTGATCTCACCAGGGGTGTTAACCAAGGTGAGTCCCGCATCCGTGCACAGTTCTAAAAATTCTGCAGAAACCTCGCTTGGAGAAGACTCCAGGAATGGCTCCCACTGTGGGTGATGCATGTTGAAATCCCCGCACAGCAGGAGCGGCGTCGAGGCTGGAAGGCAGTTTACTAACCGCCTGAAGGATTGCGTTACTTGCGGTGGTGGTCTCATATAGTCACTCGCTACAATAAGATCACGGTTCTGGTCCAGAGCAACCTGGACCACCACCACTTCAAGGCTGGTGTCGTGCTGGGGGATGGTGAGAGGTATACGCTTGGAGCGGAGAGTTGTACGCACCAGCACCGCCACACCGCCTCCCTTGCCGATGCGCGACTGTGCATAGAGCACATAATCTCCAGTGTGCATGCTGGCGATCTGCTCCGACGACTTCCAAGTCTCCTGAATGGCTATTATGTCTGCTCCTTGCGCCATTAATGTTGCGAGTTTGGCCGCCGTGAGGCAAGAAACGTTCATCTGGAGTACTGCTGTGGGGTCTGGGTTCTGCTCAATGTCTCCGCTTAGCAGTAGCTTTTGTCGTTGCGCGTCACATACGGCACGCAAACGGTATGTATAGCGCTGATAAGCGCCGATGGAATTCAGTAGCGGATGAAAATACCGCTCCGCGGGCAGCCATGTAAATGGCTCCATCTGGTGCCCTTCCGACCCGTTTGTTCGGCGCTTCCTGCCTCTCCGCGCGCAGCAGATGGGCGGCAGGCGCTTAGCTTCCTCCCTGTCAAAGAGTACTGCACGCTGGCACCACGTTGAGGTGGCCGGCTGAGCCAGAGCGTTGTTGTAGTCTTATTGGTGGTACTATATGGAATTTTGATCTTCTGACTTGATGTCGGTGCCTTATGAGTCTCATCGCCTTGTGTATTTTACTGCGCCTTTTATTTTGTGCATCTGACATACCGGTCGCACCTTGTGTGTGTGTGGAGACTGAGTTGCCAAACCTGCTGGCTCTGGATTATCGCTAGCCGAACTCAGTGACTCTGGCGGAACTCGTGTCTGTCCAGTGATGGCTGTGCCTGCTTCCTTTGGCAACAAAGGTCCTGGACTTCTCAAACCCCCCTCGCTGTCTCTCCCACTCTCTGTCTGTGGCCCACCGGTCTCCCCACCATATGGCTGTAATGCACCAGGCATATTTTTGTAGGATCCGGTTTCCCTAGCTCAGGGCTGGGAGGAATGCTGTTATCATTATTATCGTCTCCTGTCGCCGTCACACACACGGACGAGCAGCAGCAGCACAAGAGCGCAAGGACCAACACGGCGCCGCACCGTCACCATCGCAGTCACCATCGCCCGTAGTGGAGTCGCTGGTGCCAGTCAGCTGATCGGTGAGACGGAAGGAAAGGAATGGAACGAGAGGGAGAGGGACGGAGCACAACGGATACAGCGAGAGAGCGCAGACAACATGAGGAGAGGGCAGCAGGCCCAGCCGCACAGTTCACACACCACGAGACGGCATCCACGCAAGGAAGGCACACAACGCCAGCAGCCACCCACCATGCAGGAGGAGAAGACATCCACCACCATCTCCCCCAGCTCATTCCCGCAGCCCCAGGGAAATGGCCAAAACCCGCGGCCACCACACAACGCACACGGAGCAAGCGAACCCTCATCCATCCATCACGCGACACA